CCACACTTCTTGCCCCCTTTTGATTATTTTTTCAATTGTTTTCCAGGTAGGGTCTGGCACCAGCGTTAGACCAAGATCTTCCTACCTACGTCTCCCAAGTACCTCAGAACACAGGCATGAGCCTCTGTGCTCTTCTGGAAGTTACACTCTTAAATAAGTTTTTTGGGTGATTTTGATGCAGAGAGCTAACAGTAGCTTTATCTGGGAGGCATCACTTTCCAGAGACACCTCTCCAAGAAGCTGCCTTCAGCCCTCTTCTTGGAATACTCCTGCACTTAAATAATTCAACTCAAAATTTAGGTTAAAAAAGTGCTCCTTCCACCCATAGGTCCATCTCCCAGTTAATTGCCCATGGAGGGGGGGTGTTTACCAATTTGTCCATTTTAACTCTTTATTTCTTTTTCTCCACACCTTGTATAAAAAAAGAGAAGGTAATGCCATTGTGCAGATCTGATTTATCAATCACTTTTAAGTGGACTCAAGGAAATGTTGACTAGACAGAAAGTTCTGCTCTCTACTCTGAGGCCCAAAGCCTCAAACATTAATGGAAAACTGAAAGAGATCAGGATCAAACAGTCAAGGTAAAAGGCAGTGTCTAGAAAAACAAAAGTAAAAGTAAATACCTATTCCGGCCACCAATGAAGTGGCCCATGAGCTTACTCATGGCCTAAAGGAGTGGCTGGACAGGTAGTTATAAATGGACAGCTTTTCCAAAGATACAACAATATTTTGTGGTAATGTGGAATTTTTCATAGTTGCTCAGCTTTGTTTACTTATTTGCCTTTTGTATATTCCTCCAGATTCTATTCATCTTAAAAACACAGACAGACAATGTAAAGTCTTTAAATCTCTGGATGTGACTATCTGAAATGAAATCTTTTTATCCTTCTCTTCCCTGGCATCTTAGAACACATTTTCATCATACTCTCATAAAAGGAAAGACTACTCGAAAATGGAAAATAAGGGTAGTAAAGTCAAAAGGATATTATACCAAAGTTCTTGGTAAGGAAATATTTATATCCACAGTATATGCCACACCCTTTCTGGGAAGATATTACTGGACTAGAAACTGGGTTAGTGTATCCCAAAATATACTTCACAAAAAGCATAGTTATCCTCCCCAAATGGGCCCTATAATTAAGTAAAGCCTTTTCAAGTAGATTGTTCTATATCACAACTTGACATATGTTGCTTTAATCTCTCTGCTTCAGCAAATGAAGCCATACTGGACTGCAAAAGCTCTCAACAAACCACAGTGTGGTGTTACTAACAAATGGGTGCAAATATAGTCCTGTGTACCAAAATACCCAGCTCAGTCTTCTGTAATGAGATCTCTGTCCTCCCTAAACACATTTTTATCACAGTAGAATCACTACCTTTGATTCAAAGGAAGAACCAGCCCAAACCAAAATGCCATTTCATCTCTAAGGTCATCTGAAGACACAAAAAATAGCTATGGAAACTAGGGCTGAAATGACATCTTTCATATGAATGCTACTAGGACCATGGTGAGTGAGTCTTGCTTCCATCTTTTGTAACCCATCTTTCACTACCAATTGCTAGAGACCCACCTATCTGAATGAATTGATTTACAGCAATATTTGCTTTGAGTTAGGTTAATAAAAAAGGTAATTTCTTTTTTTTAATTTAATTTAATTTTATTTGTGAACATACTGTACAGAGGGGTTACAATTACATGGGCGGGATAATGCGTACATTTCTTACCAAGCATTGCAGCCTCCTCCTT